ATTAGTTATTCATTTATTTATTTACATCTTTTGTAAATGAATTGGTATTAACAAAATTTAATGTTCATTTTTTTCATTTATTCAAACAGTTTTCGAAAAATGAGTTTATTAATGTTACGTACAAGGTACTTAACAGTTAATATTTTATTATTAGCTTCCTTTTAATAGAGCTACAAAAGATAGGACAGAATTTATAAAACATAAATCCCTATATATTTTATAATATTGTTTATAAATTATATGCATAGATTTATAAACATTATTAATACTTAAAATTTTATTAAATAAAAGAAACTTCTATTTCAAAATAATTAAAAGTAATGCACTTCACACACATGCATTGAGACGACCAAGGTGTATACGTACACATCCACTGACTCCGCTGGCTACGAGATCAAACACACCCTTGAGCTCTTCGCGATACGGGCACACATAAAAGCATGCTACACATGTCTCTGCTCATTGCCTTGTCTCTCCTTCCTTTTTCCCCTTTGGGCCTACAAGCTTAGGGACTAGAATGTCATAACAAATGCACATGCATTTGGCAGCTGACTCAACGCTTTATATTGATATTTTATTTTGTTTCAAGCACAATTCCAAATTTACAAAAACGAATTTGATTATAGCTAAACATTTTGTTGTAACTTTTGTTCACTACAAAATGCCGGAGGACATTATGTTGCATTATGTGTATAGTATATGTATACTAGCTCCTCCAACGGTGCTAGTTTTTATATGTCCATTGTCCAAGTCCATTATTTCATTAATAATAATATTCAAATTTTTTCAGTTAATAATTTGCTTATTTATATTTTAAATGTTGACGTTTTTTTGACAATGCAAAATAAGATTTATTATGAGTACTTTCTCTTAACAAAAATAAAATTTATATATTCGCGCTCTTTTTAAATAACATACGACTGCAGCGCCACCTTCACATGTACAAACAGTTTTAAAAACACCCTTCTATTAAGATTTTACATTCTCATTGCCCATTCTTTACTTCGATACTTTTCGATATACATTCGACCTTTCCACTCCATGTCTTTTTTAAGAAAGGACAAAATACATATACTAGTAACATATTAATGTAGGACCAATGTAGTCGTTATTTATACGATTTATATCAGACTCTTATAACTATAAATGAATTCTAATTATAAATGAATAATTCTTTCTTCTATAATATAATTATAACTTATATCTTTAGTTATAAAAACTACTTCAGTAAAATATCAAATTCCAGACCATTCCCGTTCTCATGAGACTGTCGTGAGAATCAAAATTGTCAGCAAAATGCAACGTCCAATGGGCCTGAAAGATTTCTCCTACTTCTAATTCTAAAAACCCTTAGTCGACAAAATTATCCACTTTGACATCAAGACAAGGAGTAGAGGCAAAATTTCCATCGCCGCTGTACAATTTTCCTCTTCAAGCGATCAACACCTGTCCCGGCTACGGCCTGGCAGATCTGTTGGTCGCAAGAAAGTAGGAAATGCCGAGACTAAGCTCGTCTGCGCGTCGGATCCCCGTATAGAACTCATCGAAAAAACCTAGTATAATGCGAAAGGCGGACGAAAAAATAAAATAGAACTCTTCAAGCCGACGAAGTCCAGTGCGAGCTGTGTTGAGTGAGGTTTCAGTTAATTAAATATTAAACAATTCAAAAATCTTGTTCCTCAACCGGCCAGTCAGCGCGCGTAGCGCCTGCGCCGTCTAAAAGGAATTATGCCCTGTCGGTAGGATTAAGGAAAATATTAGAGGTGTGCAAAAAGCCCGAAACGTCGGGTCGGGTCGGGCCGAATTTTTTTCGAGTCGGGTCGGGCCGAGCTCGAGCTTTCTCGATGTATCGGGTACCCGAAAATTTCGAGAACCCGAATGTATTCGGGTACTCGAAAATATCGGGTTCCTCGAATCCATTCGGGTTCTCGAAAAATTCGGGTACCCGAAAAATTCTCGAGAACCCGAATGCAATCGGGTCACCCGAAAATTTCGGGTTACCATTAACTATAATTAAATTCTTAAAGAACTACACTGTAAAAAATTTAGGGAGTTAACGGACTCGGGAGTTGGGAGTTAAATTTTTCGAGTTAAAAATCAACTCCAAAAGAGAGTTAATTTCTAACTCCCTTCATTCAACACCCGCGCGAGTTATTTTTTCCTTGGGGAGTTAGCATTTGGGTGTTAAATTTTAACTCTCTTTATTTAACTCCCCTGGCATTAACTCCCCAATGGGTGCGACTTTTATAGACCCCCCGGGGGAGTTAAAATTTAACTCCCTTTTTTTACAGTGTATGCGATCAAGTTTGGCATCCTATTTTTGTGTTCACTACAAAAATGAATAATCTTAATTTGATCTTGGCTAACGCATGCTTAAGCGATTTCGAGAACCGGAATGTAATCGGGTACCCGAAAATTTCGAGAACCCGAATGTAGTCGGGTATCCGAAAATTTTGAGAACCCGAATGTGGTCGGGTACCCGAAAGATTTCGGGTATGTAAACAAGCTCGACCCGGCCCGAGCTCGGCCCGAACCCGAACTGACTAAGCCCGACCCGACCCGACCCGAAAAGTGAAAAGCCCGAAATTACCCGGTCGGGTTTCGGGCTTTTTGCACACCTCTAGAAAATATACGTAAGTAATTCTGTATGGTTCTAATGTCGAATCTATACAAATTTTTATATCCTGCAACACAAACATTAGCAAATTTTGTTAACTCCTTTTCATTCTGTTCTGAAATAATGTTTCAATAAATGTTGTCATGTAAAGTACTAAATCTGATTTACTTTTTTTAAAACTCCTGAACTAATTAAAGTCAAAAGAATTAAATTTATAAATCAAACGAAGCATCGCAGATTTCTTTTAAAAGTAGGATAACGATCTCGCAAATTAAACAAGGTCCTTCAGACCTTGGCAGCTTGGTGCCTTCCCAAATTAGAATTTAGAGCCATCTCAAAAACTCAATTTTTAAACAATAAATGAATTCTGGTTTGTAACAATTAAATAAAAAAATTAAATTAATAAATGTTTACGACAAGTTGAATAAAAATATTAATAAAATAAAAATTTTTATTAATAATCTGCCACAATTTTTTTTCTTGGTTCATGAAACGTTTTCAATTCATTTTGATACAGAAATTTTTAAAGTTCAATATAAATATATAATTTGATTTTTGAATTTGGTTCCTGCTCCAGAGAGAGAGAGAGAGAGAGAAATTGAAAAATACAACGTTAATCTTGAACGAAAATACTGAAAAGTACACGGAGAATACAACCATATAGAAAACACAGGTGTACTTGACACAGACAACCTTCATGTCTTAGATTTGAAATCCCAAGTGAGACAATCTGTATTCGCTCCTTCTTCGTGAAACTCTTGCGACACGAAAAAAAGAACAGAAACCAACATATATATAAATATAACTGTCGAAAAAGAATTTCCCCTCCCGCCACCATAAAAGAAGAAAGAAAAAATATTACCAAGAAATATCGAAGCAAAATCTAATAAAGCCAAAAGAGATACATTTTTCAAGTTAATATTTAAAAGAAAGAAACAACTCTTTTTACCAATAGAAAATTTTTAAATGAAGTTTATTCTTTTTCTATTCAACTTTATCGTTCTAATTAAATGAAAGAAAATGAATTTATCATTCGGTAGTTAAATATTAAAGGTGAAAAAAGTTAACAATTATCCCGAATCAATTTCACAAATAAATTAAATATCTTAAATAAATCTCTTGATAAGCTCATGGGTTTCATATATTCATCGACAGAACAGCTGCCCTAATACAGAAACCTGCTTAATCTGAAAAATATTTTCGAAATCAATTAATAATTTCAAAATTATCAAAGAGCTCAGAAAAAAACGGTAGCATGGTGGGATACAAGCCCACGACCTTTCTACTGCCGGTAGACTGCTCTGACCACTGAGCTACATGCACCCCGAGACTCTCCGAGTTCCTTGACGTATACTATCCCTTCCTACATTATTTTAATGATAATGCAGGAAGTTTCTTAAAGATGGTAAGCCCAATATTTCAATTCATAGGCAGTTATAATTAAAGGAAATGAATTTATCATTCGGCAGTTAAATATTAAAGGTGAAAGAAGTTATCGTTTAATTATCCCGAATCAATTTCACAAATAAATTAAATATCTTAAATAAATCTCTTGATAAGCTCATGGGTTTCTTTTTAACTGTTCTCCTTTTATTATTGTACTTTATTTTTATTTAAAAATCTAATTTAATCTAATTTAAATAATAATAATAAACCGCTGCCAAGTTGTATATTTTTTTTATAATTTTGGTGCTCATTTCATGAACACTTTGCTTCCTCATAGAGATAATAATAATATAAATATATGAATAACTTTTTATAAATATGGTAAAAGTGATTGAATCTTGGGTTAATCAATGTATTTTAAGTACCCTACAAGATAGTTTTAATAGTTAAACAAAAATTTTAAAATAAAAAAGTTGAAAAAATGTCATTTTCCACAATTTTTGATTTTTAAAATACCAATAATTTCGAAATTTATTATCGAATTAGGTTTAAAAATAGGTCAATCAAAGCGTATTTTGATGCTCTACAAGTTGGTGACGATAATTTTAAAGTTACTTCTACATTTTTCAACAAAATTTTCAAAAAAGTCTTATTTTCCAAAATTTTTGATTTTTAAAAGTTTAATATCTCCGGCCAATATGGACGAAAAATGTTCAATTAGGGCTCAAAAGATGCGTCTAAAAAGACTCTATAAAATTATGGAAAAACATTTATAGGAGCTCTAACATTTTTTTAAAGTTATGGGCAAAAAACGTTTTTTTGCAAAATTAAAAATAAAAAAAAATTTAGTTAAACTTTATTAATCAATCTCAAAGTACTCTCATTTTATGTCCGCAGGTGAGATCTACAATTTAAAAAAATTCAACCCAAAAGCTTTTAATGATTTTGAGATATTTATGAAAATGTGATGTTTACACACACACACACACACACACACGGAAAGGAATTGTCGTTAGCGGTCCGCCAATGAGAAAATGTCCAGGTGTCAGTGCATTAAAGTCCTCTGCATCTTCAGTGAGCGCAGATAGTGGTCTCGAATTTAGTACTGCTTCAGTCTGTAACAGAAAGGTGTTCATCTTCTCATAGGTGAGAAGATGATCACCGATAACTCTCCGTAGATGATGTTTCAAAGATCTCACCCAAGCTTCCCAAAGTCCTCCAAAATGAGGTGCAGCTGGCGGATTGAAGGACCATTGAGTGCTGTCCTTTGCGAGTAGCGATGACATAGCTCCAAGCTCTTTTGATGCTGATGTGAATAAATTGCGAAGTTCTTTATCAGCACCGGTCAAAGTTCTTCCACAGTCGCTTCTCAAAGTTGAGCAGATTCCTCTACGTGCAGTGAATCGTTTATAAGCGGCGATAAAGGCATCTGAACTGTAATCCGTTACCAGCTCTAGATGTATAGCAGCCGTGGCTTCGCAAATGAATAAAGCGATGTATGCTTTATACGTTCGAGCTGCTCGTCCCTTCCAAGTTTTGAGTAGCAAAGGTCCAGCATAATCCACACCAGAGTGTAGAAATGGTCGAGATGGAGTGACTCGTTCCATTGGTAGTTGACCCATAAGTTGACATCCACGAATCTTTCGATGCCTTGCACATTTAACGCATTTCCAAACGAACGAACTAATTGGAACACGTCCTCCGAGTATCCAAAATTCATTTCTGGTGTAAGACAAAGTCAGCTGAGTTCCGCTATGCCATGTGCGTTGGTGAGCGTCAGAGATAATTAGTTGAGTGATTGGAGATTCGCGAGGTAAAATGATGGGGTGTTTCGAGTTGAATGGTAAAAATGATGCATTTAGTCTTCCTCCAACTCTCATAAGATTCTGAGAATCAATGAATGGTGTCAGTCGAGCGAGTGGGTGTGTTGCTGAGAGAGATTCTCCTTTTAAAAGTACACTTCTTTCCTTCTGGAACATCTGTTGTTGTGTAATCAGAGCCAATGATTGTTTAGCATCAGCAAGTTCCTGAGTGGTGATTGGTGATTTCACAATGTTGTTTGCTTTTTTCCTCAGGATCAGTGAATATCTCTTCCAAATAGCTGTGATTCTCAGAAGCTTGTTCAAATCTGAAAATTGGGTCAGTAAATTCCAGATCTTGTTATTAGGTGTTGTGTTGTTGAGATGTACGGCAGCTGGACGTTCTTCCAAATTGTCTTGTTCTAAAGGTGGTTCTAAAGTTCTGGGCCATGATTCGACAGATTCCTGAAGCCAATCTGGACAAGTCCACCAATGTTTATTTTGAGCAAGTTCCACTGGACTGAGACCTTGAGTAGCAAGATTAGCTGGATTTTCCTTTCCAGGTATAAAATACCATTTTGCAGTTAGAATTAACTCTTGAATAAAGCAGACTCGATTATGAACAAATTCCTTCCAACGAGATGGGTGATTGTTGATCCAAGTATAGGTTATTGCTGAATCAGTCCATAGATGGATCGCCACTTTTTCCAGGTTTAAGACCTGCTGAACATGATGAACTAGTTTCGATCCAATTACAGCAGCAGACAATTCCAATCGAGGAATGGTTAGTCGTTTGATGGGAGCGACCTTTGTTTTTGCGCAAACAAGAGATGTTTTTACTTTTCCGTCTGGATCAACAGCGCGAAGGTACACAGCAGCAGCCAGAGCGGGTTGAGATGCATCACAAAATACATGTAATTCCAAGGATGCATCTGGTGTGATCTTAATCCATCGAGGAAACGGTAGTTCATTGATGTCCTTTAGTTGATCCATGAACGCATTCCATTTTGCAGTGAGATGCGGAGGTAATTGTTCATCCCATCCAAGCTTGAGTGCCCAAAGATCTTGAATCAAAATTTTACCAGTAATCACAACCGGAGCTAATAATCCAAGAGGATCATAAAGTTTGGAAATTGTTGATAAAGTTGTCCTTTTCGGCACTTTAGAATCACATGGTAGAGTTGAAGTGAAATGGAAGGTATCTGTTGCAGGATTCCATTTTATTCCTAACGTGTGAACCAAAGTTGCAGAACCTTGGTCAATTGATCTTGACTCAGCAGCTAATTGCTTCTCAGCTGGTAGTTTCTGCAAAATAGCGGGTTCGTTGCTTGTCCATTTTTGAAGGGGAAATCATTGACTTGATGAACAACTTCTTGAGCTTCTGTAATTGAATGAGCTCCTCCAAACGTATCATCAACTTATCTTCCGTGAGTCAAAGTTGATACAGCTAAAGGAAATCTGGAACCTTCATCCTCGATCAGCTGTTGCACGGTACGAAGGGCGAGAAACGGAGCACACGCAAGTCCATATGTCACAGTTGTCAACTGATAATCAACAATGTTGTTTGTAGAATCCATCCATAGAATTCTTTGTAACTTCTGATCATCAGCATGAACCTTGATTTGCCGATACATTTTCTCTATATCGCTGGTGAACACATAACGGTACTGTCGAAACCAAAGAAGCACATCGAGAATGTCAATTTGCAACTTTGCCCCAATGTGAAGGATCTCGTTGAGGGAGATGCCGGTAGATGTTCTGAATGATCCATTAAATACTGCGCGTAGTCTGGTGGTGATGCTGCTTTCTTTGATGATTTCATGATGAGGAAGATAAAAGGCACCTTCAAGTGACTCTTTTCCAGATGTTGACACACGTCCCATGTGTTTTAAATCTTTATAGATCTGAAGAAATTCACTGTAAGCTTCCTTCAGTTAAGGATCACTGTTCATCCGAGCAATTAATTTAAACAGCATTCTTATAGCACTGTTCCTTGAATCTCCCAAAAGCGATGTTGATTTCTTGAGAGGATAACGTACGATGTATTGACCATTTGTATCCCGAGTGTGTGTTGATTTAAAATGATCTTCACATTCTTGTTCTTCTTGTGATAGGCCAGATGAGTTGGAAGCAGGTACATCATCCAGTTTCCAAAAATTTTGAAGAAGATTATATAGCTCCTCGTCGAGTGACACGTGATAACTTTCAGAAGTCATTATTGCTGGTGATGAATTTGATGGACCAAAAAGAATCCAACCAAAGTTGTTGCTTGAGCAGCTGGAGACGAGGAAGATCCACGACGAATTCCTTCTTCCAAAATTAATCCATAATAATCAGCTCCAATGATTATATCAATTTCGCTCGACGACGTGATATCAGGATCAGCAAGTTGAAGATCATTGAGATGAGTTTGCACAAGTTTTTCAGAAATAAACGAAATTTGAGATCCTGGATCAACTAACGCTCTAACTTTAAGTTGTTCTCCTTTATCAGATGCTGCAATGAGTTGAATTGTTGCTAAGATAGTTTTGGAAGGTGAAGAAGTTTGATTCACTGATGCACAGTTCACTTGAGCACTTGAATCGGAAGAAGAAGTTTCATTATTTTCTTTGGTAGCTTTGTCAAAATTTTCTTTATTGGCCCGATGAATGGTTGTGTGATGTTTTTTAGCACATTTCATACATCGTCTTGTCGAACGGCAATCAGCAACACGATGTGATCCGAGACAGTTGTAACATAGTCTATTCTTTCTCACTAATTCATTGCGGTCTTGAACAGTTTTTCCCGTGTATTCCGGACATTTAGCTATATAATGTTCTCCTGAACAAATAGAGCACTGAGTATTGTTTTGTTGATCCTCTGATGCTAGATTCACTCTTGCAGGTTGTGAACTTGATGAATTTGCAGGATTACGTGATTTTTCTACAGCTTTGAGAGTTAACAGTCTAGTAAGTAAAAATTTAACAAGTTTTTTCCACGTCGGAGGGTCTTGAGAAGAGCCTAAATGCAGCTCCCACGCTTTTATTGAGTCGCAATCCAGTTTTTGCACAGTTTGAAAAACGAAGAAATCATCCTGCTTATCAACTGATCTGCCGAGAGTTTCTAAAGAACGATGAATTTGCGTGACAGAAGTATATAAGTTTTCCATTTCCACAGATGATTCCTTTGTCATTCTTTTGAGTGTGATAAATGAATACAAAGCTGAATTGACTAATAACCGTTTATTTTCATAGAAAGCAATTAAAGAATCCCATGCCTTTTGAAAGTTGTCATTTGTTAATGTTGTATTTTTTAGTAAATAAGCTGCAGTTCCTTTGAGACATTGTTTTAAATAGTGTAGTTTCCGTACGGGTGATAAAGATAAATTTGATAACACCATAGAATCAAACAAATCTTTAAAAGGTAGCCATTCCGAGGGAGAACCATCAAAACTCGGTAAATTTAAATAAGGTAAACGTGGACCAGAATGTCCGCTTGAGGGAAAAGATGACACTTGTGAACCTGATTGAACAGAAGGGGAACGTGAATCCTTTTTTAAACGATCAAGCATTGAATCTATAGTTTCCAAAGCTTCAAGATATGCTTCTTGTGTGGCATTGAAAAGCTTTTCAGAAAAATAAGAGCGTCGAAAAATGTATTCCTTATCTCGCGATGTTAATCGACGGACAGCAATTTTAATTGCATCATTTTTCAATGTAAATTTACTCCATTCCTCTTGAAGGGCGGTTTTTCGCGTTTCAATACGATGTGATGACACATTAGACACACCAACACTTGTTAAGTTATTCACAGCACTTGAGATAAAATCCATATGCGACACTTGATCGTCAAGATAATTTTTTATATGAGACACTCTCATTTTGAACACGGATTAAAACTAAAAATCACTTGAACTGATATCCAAAATATCACTTAATATCCGGCTCGAAGGACCAAAAATGTTTAGAGAATGTCACGTATTTTCATTTGAAAAAAATACAAAGAATTAACACGCATAAAATACGCCAAAGTTATTACTTTATTATTGTTCAATAAATAGATAACATCGCCTATTTTGAATGATAACACATTATAAATAGAGGATAACAAATTAATATTGTATGATAACACTTTTGATACGATTGAGAGTACGTTTTATCAATTTTATAACTCTGTTATTGGAGTGATAACTTTTACGAAAAAGATAACATGTTGTTGAAAATGATAAAGTTTCTTAATTGAGTGATAACTTTTAGTATATTGATAACACATTTACTAGAGTGATAATCTTAAGGAAGGTAAACTTATATGAGAATGATAACTTGACGAGAGTGATAACTTTTAGAGACTTGTCACGAGTTTAAGAGAATGATAACTTTAAGAGATTGATAACCTTTTGTGAGAATGATAACACTCTGGAAGGTCGAGAATGGGTCCCTTGCAGGCATAACACAACTCATAAGGGCCCGCAAGGGAGAGAATCAACATAGATAATAGACTTTCACATAAGGACTTATCTAGAATGTTATCCCCTTTTTTTAGAGAGTAACTTGATTTTGATATGATCAAATAACAGTTTGTTGAGAATAGACTCGTGACTTTTGAATGTCCGGTTAACGTTAACACTTTTGGGAGGTCTCTACGAAAGCTAAGGCAAAAGCGAACTAACTACCCGATTTGAGCAAAAAGGGCCTTATCCTTTACCCGATGTACCGATACCAGAAAAAGAGGAAAGAAAAGCAATGTTTTTCTTTAAGATGTCAGTTTTCATCTTTTTGGAAAAGTCTTTTTAGTCAAAAACTAGCACATGTTTTGCAGTTTTCAATTGCTTTTGTGAGTAAGTTTATAAAAAAAGTGAAAGTTTGAACGATTTGAAAAAGCCGTGAGAAAATACGGTTTAACTTAAATTTTTGAACTCATCTTTAAACAAAGTCTTATTTTCCAAAATTTTTTATTTTTAAAAGTTTAATATCTCCGGCCAATATGGACGAAAAATGTTCAATTAGGGCTCAAAAGATGCGTCTAAAAAAACTCTACAAAATTTTGAAAAAACATTTATAGGTGTCCTAACATTTTTTTAAAGTTATGGGCAAAAAACGTTTTTTTTAAATTAAAAATAAAAAAAAATTTAGTTAAACTTTATTAATCTATCTCAAAGTACTCTCATTTTATGTCCGCAGGTGAGATCTACAATTTAAAAAAAAATTCAACCCAAAAGCTTTTAATGATTTCGAGATATTTATGAAAATGATGTTTACACACACACACACATACGGAATGACATTTTTTAAAAATGTAATTTTTAAACTCCTGAGGTCAAATAACATAAAGATATGTCAAAAAATCGAACTCAAAAAATGTTGGTATTACAATACTTCCTCTATGAGGAAGTAATAATAATAATAAGTGGGTCAGGTATGTCCAGGCGAATGCGAGTATTAATAATAATTAATACTAATAATACTAATAATAATTTTTTAAATAAAAAATATAATTTTTCGTTTCACTAAACACTAGTTCGATCACCATTTTACTTCAAATTTAGAATTTTTTATACGAAAAAAATTTTTTAAAAGACACTCAAAGATTTTGACATTAAACAAATTGACTAACGAATTGAAGTTCGTTCAGTTGACATAAAAACAAAAATTCAAACAATTTAAAAATATATATTTGTGGAACAAATAATTGGTAGAAAATAATATTAGTTAAAAAAAATTTAGTGGACAAAAAGGTTGTTGGAAAAAAGAATTGATGGAAAAAAGGTCATTGGAAAAAAGAATTGGTGGAAAAAAGATCATTGGAAATAAGAATTGGTGGAGAAAAAAGTTAGTAGGAAAAAAGGATTGGATAAACTGGTGTACAATCCTCCTAACCTAAGTCGGTTGCAGCCGCAAAAGTAGGGACCCCGAGAGTTTGTGAGTTAGAAGAGTTTAGTAGTGATGTTGAGGAGATTGTAAAGGCCCGAAAGGGCCTACAATGAAATCATACTTTACTTTATAAGTGGGTCGGGCTTGCAGTAGGTCGCCAGTTTATTAAATTTATTATGTTATTTATTAATTAATTTATTTTTATATATTTCCTTTTGTTTTATTATACCAACCCAACATAACCTTAGAGTTCAGAATCCAAGGTATCTGTAGGCAGATTTCCAAAAATTCCCTAAGCAAAAAAATAAATAATAATAATTATAATAATATATATATATAATATAATAATAATTATTATTTTTTTTTGCTTAGGGAATTTTGGGAAATCTGGCTACAGATACCTTGGATTCCACACTCCAAGGTTTTGTGGGGTTGGTATAATAAAACAAAAGGAAATATAAAAAAATAAATTAATTAATAAATAACATAATAAATTTAATAAACTGGCGACCTACTACCAGCCCGACTTACTAAAATCCGTAACTCTTCTTTTGGAGCCCTTTTCCCTCCCTCGGAACTGTCGTAAGACTTTAGCCTTCAAAAATTTAAAACTATTTTAATGGCTAAACGGAATTTACAGCACAACAATAAAAAACAAATGCTAAAAGGTGTAAAAAGTCAAAAGATATAATAGTAAATAGGTATAAAAAACAGAAACATATAAAGTAAACAGATATATGAGGTTAAAAGATACAATTGTATAAGGACAAATAAAAATCACAAAATGAATTAAAATTGTAAAAGGACAAATAAATCACAGAATAAATTAAGATAATACGGAACAAAATAAATTTAAAATCTGATTAAATGACGCTTTTTGGCGGTCGTCGAGTTGTTTTCTCGACATAACCGAGATTATAATGTTCTCGACATGCTGCCAATTTTCTTCTGACTGGGTCATCAGCGATACCATGTTCTCTGGTGTAACTTGACTGTTTACAACTTCGAACATAGCCCGCCTCTCCAAGTCCCATTTCTTGCATGAGAAGAGGGTGTGCTCTGCGTTGTCCACAGGGAACTGGCAGTACGCACACACCTCATCTTCGCGTAATTTAAAGCGATACAGGTACGCGTTGAAACACCCGTGTGCCCTGTAAGCGCTTGCGTCAAGTAATAGGAAACCTGACCTTATTTCCTATTTATCCAGGTGTCGAGTGCTGGGATAAGGCGATAAGTCCATCGACCCTTTTCCTCACCATCCCATCTTTCCTGCCATCTATTTATGAGCCTGCGCCTCGCTTCTTTTCGGATCAGGCCCTTGTTAGGTCTAATTTCCTCTTCTGAGTAATTTCTTTCTTTAGAAAAGATTGCTCTTGCCAAAAGATCTGCTGGCGGAACCCTTGCAAGGACCTGCACTGCACTCGTAGATACTGTTTTATACGCAGAGATGATACGCGTTGTTATCGATATCTCTGCGCCGACAGTATCTTTTCACAGATGGTCACACATCTTTTACTCCTCAGGGATGGGGCCCATGCTGGTGCTGAATAAAGTATTTTAGCATGGGCGACACACGCCACCAGAAGACTGGTGAGTCTTCTAGAAGACTCAATGCCGAATGTAGGCAAACCCCGTAAACAAAAAAGATTTTTTGTTTACGGGGTTTGCCTACATTTGGCATTAACCGTGAAAGATTAACCGCACACTCGATCGCCTTATTTGACGCCGTAGCCATGTGGTGGTGGAAGTTTAACCTTCCATCTAACTCCACACCAAGATATTTAAGTTGTTTACTCCACTTGACCTCGAATCCGTCTATCACGATTCGTAGGAACTCACAACCACGTCTGTCTGTGACCAACAGTGCATCGGTCTTTTCCAGGGCCATTTCAAGACCTCTGGTATCCAGCCAGCTTTTTGCTAATCGCAGACATTCATTCACCAATGTCCCAAGAGCCTTCTCACTTTCAGCAGTGCACACGAACAACGCGTCGTCCGCAAAACCGATGATCAACACACCTTCGGGCAGATCCATTTGCAGGAAGTCATCGTAAGATACATACATTCTATGCAAACGGACCTACCCTCGAGCCTTGAAGAGCCCCACGATGTATCTCTTTCTTAAGAGTGGAGGTGTCTCCCTCATATATAACTCACCTGTCGCTAAGATAATTATCCATTATTCGCAACAAGTAGGGCGGCATGTTTTGCTTTTTCATCGACTCGATGAGATCTTTCCATCTTGCGGAATTAAACGCGTTACGTATGTCAATTGCTACCAATGCGCAGAAACTCTTCTTCTTCTCTGGTCCCAATTTGTTTTTTCCTGCTTTGGCTATGCCCACTACTGCCTGGATGGAATCAACTGTAGACTTGCCTTTACGAAAACCAAATTGGTGATCCGATAGACGATTCTCTCCGGTCAAGTGGCTTTGCATTCTCTGCAGAACCATATCCTCTAGAAGTTTACCCATCGTATCTAGCAGGCATATAGGCAAATCTCTGGAAACTTTAACATTTGAATTTTTTTTTAAATTTTTTGTGTGCACAATTTTGACATTTTTAGTATTACATCTTCGACCAAAATAAATTTCATTTTTATTACTGTACAACCATTATTTGGTTGCCTTCTATTTTAAAATATAAAATTTTTGGAAAGAAAATAATGTTAGGTTATCTAAATCTGTAACAAGATATACATAAATATTTTATCTCCCTACAATTAAGTATAAGTTATTTCTCAGTGTGATATTACAAAAACATATAATTAAACATGAAAATAAATACAATAAACGTCTAATACAACTAATATGAAAAATTGAGGGGACGGCTTCTTAAAGGGGATACGCGTGGATTCTCGCGTTTAAGTTTTGTCCACTTGGTCAATTTTTGAAAGTATTACAAATTGCAATTTGAATTACCGAAGTTTGTGGAAAATGGAAAGGCGCATCTTTTTTCTTTAAGAAATAACTTTATATCTTTTTTAGTTTATGAAATAATGAGAAAAAAC